CCCTGCTTATTTTTTGAAAATAAGCGAAACCATTGCCTCTAAACATTCTTTTAGCCCTTAGTTGTTCTTGTTCTTAGTTGTTATGTATGTATTTTCAGTTTATTGATGGGGGAGAGAAGTCAGACAGGCCACAAGGACTAAGATCTCCAGAGAATTAAGGATGTCCTGGGGGTTTAGGCTTATCTGTGCAGAAACTTTTGTTTTCATTTTTTAAAAACTTTTATTAAATATAAAAAAATCCAATTTCTAAATAAACAGTGTGTTATCTGTGCACAACTAATTTTGAGAAATAATAATCATAAAATCTACAGTAATATTCATCACATTAATATTGATCTCATAATAATAGTAGCCTTTGATTATCCGTTTTAATGAACCTTCCTTATAAAATTAATCCCTCTCTTATATTTCCATATTTCTATCTTCTGTTTCTGTTGGTTAGCCATTGATAGAAGGAGTCCCATGTTAAAAAGCATTCAGTTTCTTCCTTTTCCCTAATTTTAATCTATCCATTCCTGCACATTCTAGTATTTTCTTAATTGTGTTTTCCTCTGTAGGGATCTCTTCATGTTTCCATTGTTGTGTAAATGGAATTCTAGCTGCAGTTAGCACATGTAAAATTAAGTATCTATTCCCTTTATTATATTTCCCAAGTAAGATGCCCAACAAAAATATTTCTGGTTTTATATCTATGTGTGGCTTTGTCATTTTTTCCAACCTTTGTATGTATTTTTGTCCAATATTCTTTTGCCTTTGGGCATGTTCTCCATATAATATGATAATACAAACCTGGTGTCTGATTACATTTCCAACATTTAGTGGACATGTCCTTAAACATCTTGGCCAATCTTGTGGGTGAAAAATGCCATCTATAAAACATTTTATAAAGATTTTCTTTATATGCAGTTGAGATAGTTAATTTATAATTGCTGTGCAGAATCTTGTACTCCCCTTTTTTCCCCTCTATTACAGTGATGGCTAATCTTTTTGTCATTGCATGCCAAAAATGCGCGCCTGCGTGACAGCACACCTGCGTGCCCGCACCCGTAATGCATTGCGCGCTCGACCGCCCCCCCCCCGTGCACCCAACCCCGCACATGCGTGTGACAGCCCCTGTGTATGCCCCCCACACATTCCCTTGTGTATGTGGCCCCCCAGCTCATTTTTTGCTTCCAGGTTGGTGCAGGAGGCTTTCCAGTCCCAAAAAGAAGGTGAAGGGGGGCTCAGTGCCCCCACACTGTCTTTTGGGAGAGCATTGTGCAAGGCCCCAAAATGCAATGTGAGTTGCCCCATACACATGCACTCCACCACATGTGTGCATACATCCCTCGCATGCGCCCCCCGCCCGTGCATACGTGCTCATTCCATGCATGCAGCCCACTTCTGTGCATGCGTGGCAGAGACCCGAAGACCAGCTGGCCGGTAGGAAGTGCACACACATGCACAGTGGAGCTGGGTTGGGGCTACGCCTGGCATGCCAGTGGAGAGGTTGCCATAGGTACGCCATCACGGCTCTATTAGCTTGGGGAGGAGATGAAGATTCAGGGGAGCAACAGAAGGGTTCACCGACAAATGCGTGCATGACAAATGCGCGCATGACAAATGCGCGCCTACAAAACCGCCACGACAAAATGGCAACATTGAAAGCGCGCTCACTAAAGCGCGTCGACAAATGCACGCCGACAAAAGCGCACC